CCAATACGGCCGTACACACCGACCCATTTCCACCGGAAGTGTTCTATGGAGAGATTAAAATGCGGCGGGAATAGCGTTGCACTAATAAAGACGGTCTTCTTCCGCTTTTCCTCCCGTTCATGACACTACAAACCTGCGGTAGTAGAATCACTGGCAACTGCAAGCGCGACGCTTTACGACCCTCAGACTGAGGCATTCAGTCATTCCGGGACAGAACGGGAAAAATACCGAGACTTGAGCCTATCCGGATACCTGAACACGTTGGAGAAGTCAAGGAGAAGTAGTACTTTTCGTGGGATGACTTCAGGTATGCTTATGCAAGGACTCCGTCGGAGTCGCTTTGGGGATGACAAAGGAACACAAAACATGGTACATCTATACTCTATTGCGTCAAATCTAAGCGGCCAGAACAAAGTACAAAAAGGCTCGTGAGTGTTTAGACTTCTGATTCGCCATCCCCTTGGCTAACCCCAAGCTCAGAGAGCTTGTATCGTTTCAAAGCAAGATGCCACGCTCTATTCAGCGTAAGTCAAGTAGCTTCCGAGTATTCCATCACACTCACATGTAACCGTACTCGAATGTCAACCAGGCCTGCAAAGCCGTAGGATCTTCTTGCAAGGTTGCAGCGATGCGGTCATGCAATTCGCCCACCTCCTGCACCATCTCGACCAACACGCGGTGGGAGTGCTTTTGTTCGATCCGGGCACTTAGCTGCACGTAGCCCGTCGTCTCCCCCGCAAGTTCCTCCTTATAAAACCTAAAGGTCTCATGAGAAACTAATTGATATCACAGGAAGTCGAAAACACCAACGAGAGAATATCGTTCACCAAGCACATGAACCGGTCGATGTCGGGGAGAACCTGGATGTACGCCGCGACGTCCGGGTGGATCTGCTTAGGGAAGATAGCACACGAGAACCCCGGCGCCATCCCGCTTTTCGCTCGAAGGAACGTCGGCCACCGCAGAGCGGTAGGCTGAACTTTCATCTCGCATATCTCCTTCTTGATCTCGAGGACGCTGGCGGTCACGAACTCGAACGCCGCGCATACCATCGTATTCGCACAGAGTTGATCCCAGTGCTCGTATAATCGTCCCAAGGCTTTATCAAACTGTCGGAGTCCGGGTTCGGTCTCGGATTCACCGAACAGATGTCTTCGCTGATAGTCTTCTAGGGGGAGCCAGTCGGCGTTGTCATCGATGTAGAAGAAGAACCTGCGCGCGTAAATCAGCATCGCTATCGTTGCAGGCAACGGGGAGGCGCTTCACCATGTATAGAGGCCGAAGACAAACTTCACTTCGAATGCATGACGCGAGTAAAAGTACTATACACATGAGGTGTGTTATCGATAAGCATTTCGCCTTCAGAGTTAATTACCTGCACAGTTGAGACAGCCTTCTTGGTCGTGTTGGCCAAAACCGCAAAATCCTGGCTGCTGCCTTTGTACCAGGATGTTACTTCTTCGTTGATGGCTTTCTCTAGGGCATCACTTGTATTTTTGAAGACCGCAGGGGCTTTCGAAGGGCTGTATGCAACTACTTCAAGCATAGATTCGATAATGGTTCTGAGATCTAGTTCACCACCGTCCTGCCGCAGTAATAAAATTTCAGCAAGAATTTCAATTAAACATCGAGCGTACTTGACAGCGGTTGAAGTTGGACTTCAAAGTCGTCGGAGTGAGTTGCACGACCATTGTACTGGGTGGTTTAATTCATCTTGTTCTTTCGCATCAGTGCTCGCTTTTAAGCCAGCGCAAAGTAACTTGCCAGACAGATGGATATATCATATCGTTTCTCTTCCAGGCAATGCGATAGCCGCCTACGCCGAAGAATCCAGGTGTACGAAATTCCGACTCCTCCAAAGCCCCTGAAGATTCCCTCGCTGCCGTCGCAAACTCAAGATACGGCTATCGTCTACCTTTACTTTCAACTCGGAATTCTCCAGTATCGTCGGGTTTATGCGTACCAAGACGGGAGTACGCCATTCCGCCTGGCACTGCTTTATTTGGAGTCGATTGTTCAAGCAATCTGTAGGCCATGCTTTTGCTTCCGGATGACAAGGTTGATTTTTATCCCTCATTGACCTGCCTCGCAGATACTCGAATTTGACGACACTTCGTTTACACGAACAAAAGGCTCCATGGTTGCGCTTTGCTATTGGAACAACAATGAAAAAAATCAAGACTTCGAATCTCTTGAATCGGAGCGAATCCATCTTTCCCCGCAAGCTGCCTCGGTAGATATGAGCTGAACTCATGTTAACCTTCTCCCAGGTGCAAGAATTAAAGCCGAGGCCCTCCTGGACGTGCCTGATTCTCAAAGCAATCTAATCTTCACCATTTGATTACCAGAAGGCGAAGGTGAGGACATTCCGCTTGCGTCCGACGCAGTAGGCAACTCCGACTCGGCCTATAACAAACAGCTTCGGCGCTCCCGCTTCGCCAAGGACCGGTAGTCAATGGCTCCCGATAGGTTACCGTAGGAATCTTCCCGCTCTCCCGCCTTTTGTTGTCTTCGCGAACGTCGGCATTAGCTGAGATTTGATGCCCTATTTTCAGATTGTGAATAAAATCCGGACCGCTGACGCTCGACACGCTCGTTGTCCTTTTGCTTCTTGCTACCCTCAGTGATGAAGTTGCTCGCCGCTGAATTGGGCCTCGGCCTCGTATGCTTCCTTGTCTACCGCAAAGTCTACACTGCTTGGAAAGATCGGGGACCCCCCGGCCCACAGGGCTTACCTATCATCGGAAACATGCTCCAGATACGCAAACTCCCTTGGATAACTTTCACAAAATGGACTCGAGAATACGGTGAGAAAACAAACTCAATCTTCTTTATTCCATCCGTGTTCAATAGCTACGCCCAGGCCCAATCTATCGCATAAACATTGGCGGTCAGAATGCAATCATCCTGGGGAGCACGAAAGTCGCGTCGGACATTCTGGACCGTCGTTCAGGCATCACTGGCGATCGACCGCAAAATATCGTTACAAGAATTCTCACCGGAGACCTCATCTTCGCATTTTCACAAATCGGACAAACTTGGCGGCGCATGCGAAAGGCCTCTCATGAGTCCGTTTCCCCATCTATGCGTATCCTCTACATCTCTGACGAACCTGTCTCAGCGCGCTAGGCCCACAAATAGCGAAAAATTACCATCCGCTTCAAGAACGCGAGGCGATAATCCTCGTTGACGAAATGATCCAAACACCGTTGCAGTTCAACGCGCATATCAAACGCGCGAGCGCATCGATAGTCATGTCGATCATATACGGTATTCCAATCGCAGATTCGAAGGACCCCATTGTCATGAATATCACGCAATTCGTGGATCGAGCGCTAGGCGCCGCGGCCCCCGGTGCATTTTTGGTTGAATATTTCACCTGGATGCAATATCTTCCGCGTTGGATGTCTGGATGGAGACGATACGCCGAATTCTGGTATCAACAGGATTCAGTTATGTTGACAGGGTTGTTTTCGAAGGCACAGACGCGGAGGGTGAGTTTCTCTTGCTCAAATCCGGATCAGAAGAGCAATTTTTCTAAGTTCGAGGACAGGAAAAAGGCGAAGACGGTCCGAGTGTAGCTGCGGCCCTCATGGATAGTACGGAAAAAGATGCTCTTACGCTGGTAGATTCGGCTTGGTTGTCAGCTACCCTTTAGTGAGTTTTCTATTTCATTCCAGACAACAAGGACTTACCCGTGGGCAGCGCTGCTGGTGCCGAGACGGTAATACCAACAAACCCTCAAATTTCTTGTATTGAAAACGCTGATCTCACGTTCAGAGCGCCGGCCAAATGGAATGGTTCATGATCAGCATGCTTCTACATCCCGAAGTTCAAACTGCAGCTCAGCAGCAATTGGACGACGTCGTAGGCCGCGGTCGTATGCCGACACTCGCAGACTACGATCATTTGCCGTATATCAGAGCAATTGTGAAGGAAGTTTTGCGTTGGCGAACTGTACTTCCAATCGGTCGGCGGCGTTCAACATTTGATTTACTCGATGTGCTCATCTTTTTTCAGGCCTGCCACATCGAGTATCCGAGGACGATTGGTACGAAGGGTTTTTCATTGCTAAAGATTCCATTCTCATCCCGAATATCTGGTACGCATTTCGTTGGGTTTGATTCGATTGATTGAAGCCGTCGACGACCAGGGGAATGAACCACGATCCCGCCGTATACGGTGAAGATGCAGAGGCTTTCCGCCCCGAAAGACATCTCACCGAAGACGGTGTTTTGGCGCCTGCACCGAAGGACACAAAGGATGAAAGTCATTGCTCTTACGGATTCGGCAAACGGTAAAGTTTTCAATTTCGAACATGCCATCCAGTTAATCAACGATTGTTATTATAGAATTTGCGTCGGCCGCCATGTCGCGAACCGGTCACTATTCATTGAGATGGCTACAATCCTATGGACATTCAATATTTTGCCTTCGAAAGACAAGAATGGTAATGCAATGTTGCCCGATGCGAGACCGACCCGAGGTGATAGTCTCAATTTGTAAGATATTTTCATTCTTCTACATTGTCTGCTGCTTATTCTTTGTTCAGGCGTCCGGCTCCGTTCCAGTGCGAGATTGTTCCACGGTTCGACAACGCGACCGAAATTGTTGCACAAGCGAAGAGCATGATTGTTTAGTTGTAGCTTTAATACTGCAGAGAGCTTTCAACAATTTAGCAGAGACATTCACTGTGAAGCTTCGTAAGGCCAACTGTTTCTGTACCGAATCGGAATACAGTTAATGCATCCTCCTCCTCCGAAACAGTTGTTTGATCTATTTTCGAATCTTGAGTCCTGGCTGTATAGTTTGATTTCTTGTTCTCTTACTGAACCACTCATTTTCCGAACCTCGTCCTACTCGGTTCTGTCTCACTTGTCTCACCTTCCCAACGCTTGGCACAATGACAAGTTTCGAGGGCGCTGTGGCTCAGAAGCACGACGTACTTAGGGGACAAAGTTGAGTGGGCAATGGCGACAAAAAACAAGAAACAAGCGGCATGCTCCCTGTGAGGCTCGAACTCACGACCTTCAGATAGTTCGATCTATATGAGACTGACGCTCTACCGGCTGAGCCAAGGAAGCGGCGACGCCATAGCCAAAACAAGATCCGAGATTGACAAGAGATCGGTGTTAACAGCTGGTTAACGTTGGCTTGTAAAGAAAAATCTCCCCAAGTTAATACTTTTGAACACAACGCGAATGTGAGGCATTTCTGATAGTATGCCGCGTTGAGAAAGGAGTTGAGCCAATCTTGTTCTTCTCTATGTATATTTGTTCTTGATCCAAATCTCGATCGCTCAGAACTTGCAGCGAGAATATCAATTCTTGACATCATGTCGGTGCGAGATACTCATGGGGTGTGCAGAAATGCGCTGCGCCATGCAGTACGTTGCTGTGTTGAAGCTCTGCTCGACAATCAATTGGATTCGATTCAACACCAAGTTGACTGTTGAACAACTGTTGAGCATCGTCATTGATCGCAGCGATTTGCGAGATCGGGATTCAACATGAGTTTGTTGAATTTTTTAGCAGTTTTCCTTTTAGAATGGGCGATAAAGCTGATCTGAACTCCGCGAAAGATTGACACTTCCAGCCTCGAAATCCGACCTTTGTTGTGTAGAACCCTTGGTAGAACCAGGAGCTTCTCGGCTCTGCCAACACTGCCATGACGTAAATGCTGTGCCGTACACCGCTTACGATCCGATAAATAGTCCGTCAGCGCCGTCCTTGCCGTTCCCCAACTTCCCCTCTCCCTCTACGAGCAGGCCAAACTCCTCAATCTACACCCACAGAAACTAAGAAATAAGAATGTCCTACCCCGGTGTACGCCAAATCTCGCTGGAAAATACTAGGAACAAAGCTGATTAGTATGACTTCAAATCTGGATTATAGCAGCAATATGGCGGCGGCGGCGGATATGGCGGCGGTGGCTACGGAGGACCTCCTCCAGGTGGACCCCCTCCTGCTCACGGTGAGTTTCTCCCTTATCTCTGGTCTTTTGTACAAGAAGATTGGATTGTAATACTAACGCCCAATCGATGACGCGCAGGCGGCTACGGAGGAGGCGGATATGGCGCACCTCCGGGTGGCGGATACGGCGCGGGTGGTCATGCAGGTGGATTTGCACCTCCCGGCGGCGGAGGTCCCCCACCCGGTGCGGACCCTCAGTGCGTACAAAATTCCAAAAGCACGGAAATGCAGAATATTAATATGAGTTGACGCACAGGCTGTGGAACTGGTTCACCTCTGTCGACGTGGACAGGTCTGGCCACATTTCCGCGCCCGAGCTTGGTACGTTTTCTTTGTTTTCCTTTTTGACTCTGGACTTGTGGTTTATATTGCACGAATAGAGCGCGCGCTGATCAACGGCGACTGGACCCCCTTCGACCTCGACACCGTCAAGCTCCTCATGACCATGTTCGATACCGACCGTTCCGGCACCATCGGGTTCAATGAGTTTGCTGGTGCGTCCTGCTCACACCTTTTCTTCACCCCCGAGCTCGAAATCCTCATCCCAATGCTCCAGGCCTCTGGAAATACATCAAAGACTGGCAAAACGTCTTCAAGCACTTTGACCGCGACCGCTCCGGCTCCATCGACGGCAACGAACTGCGCGATGCCCTCGCGCAGTTTGGCTTCAACCTGAGCCCCCATTTGTTGGTGCTTGTGCAGAGGAAATATGGTGAGCATCATAGCTTCACTCTCCGCCCTCCCCCTCCTTGTCCCCCTGCACTGGTCCCCCCTCTCCTCCTCTTCCTCTTCCCCTAACACCCATACTCACAGACCCTGTCAAAGCCGGCACGACAGGACGCCCTGGAGCGGCTCCCCCAGGTATCACCTTCGACCGCTTCGTGCGTGCGTGTGTGGTTGTCAAGCAGCTGTCTGAGGTGAGTGTTATGGTTCCGTTTTTTCTTCTTCCTTTTGCTATTTTGGTGGCGCCCGGGTCCATTGGAGATGCAGATTAGGATGCACTGCAGCGGAGTCAGTTGCGCTCTCGCGCATATACCTTTTTTTTGCTTGGACTGGCGTGCGATGTCACCGGAGCATCCAGGCCAAGTCTGGGTGTTACCAGTGTTTTTGCATCTGTCGGGTGTAGACATAACACCACCCTCGTAATGCTGATTTTCGTCGTGCCCATGGATATCTATCCAGGGAGCTCGGGGCGGGATGACCCTCGCCGATATCTGTCTCTGGTGGGGCGACGACTATGGGCATAGATAACGAGGAGCGGGAGCGGGAGTGGGATTACATGCTTGATGACATGCTTGATGACATGCTTGAACCCTCCGCCGAGACCGCGTTGCCAGTCTACTCGTCTCCCGCAACGTCTGGACGGGAGTGGCGTCTATCGTACAAGCGGCAGAAGTTGGTGAGATAGTCACGGCGATAGCGCCCGCCGGGTTATCGTACGAGCGGGAGAAGTGGCCGTTGAGGTCGGTGCGATTGTGTGGGCGGCAGTCCATTGGAGTGGTCTTTCTACGTCTATGTCGCTCGCACTTCTGCCGTACACTCGTTTCCCTCCCTCTGCCCTATCCTCTTTCTTTTTTCTTGCCTTCCTCCTTCCATCCTCTTCCATCCCCGCTCTTGTTAGAAAACCCCGCTGACCATTTTTCTTCTCGACTTCACCAGGCTTTCGGCCGTCTTGACACCGACCGCGACGGGTGGATCCAGATCGGATACGACCAGTTCATGGAGACGGTCTTGAGCCTCCCTTGAGCTGCTTCTTCCGCCCGTCTCAGCCTTTACCGCCAGTATTGTACTCCGAATCCGAATCCCATTGTACAGTGTATGTACCTGCTTCGTTGACCGTTCTCCTTACCCCCTCTTTCTTCTCGATTCCCTTTATTTCGAATGTACTGTATTGTACTGTACCGTACGTGTGTCGCTCGAAAGAAATATGAATAAATAAATATGTACAGTTTTTGCACCACATATCAAAACCGTCTCTTGGCTAAATCGAGAGGACCAAGCTCGAGGTGGACGTATACCACCCAGCAGCGAATTCAAATGCTATTGTGCTCACAGGCAATCTCCAGTCCATGATTTAGGCGAAATCACGCCGGCCCTAAAGCACAATGCAGCAGCATGCTCTTCAAGCTTTTCTTTCCCTCTCTTCAAGCTTCAGGTCTGCGGCGTTCTTCGGAATCTTTCGCCTGAGAGTACTCGTGGCAATTGCTCTCCGATCTGATGCTCTTTAGCTGCTTTTGAACCCTTTCATTCGTTTTCCGTCCCAGTGGCAAGAAGTGGCAGCAAAGCCACTTTTCACACTCAATCGCTGCCCAATCGCGACAAAAACGCCGACACGGTACTTATAATGGTCGACCGTCGCCTCACCTGTTTTCAGACCCCCACCTCACAACAACATGCTCGAAAGAAAAGGTTCTTCGAGTTCAGTGGCACTCGCCACCCCCACTTCCACCAGCCAACGTTGTCCCTCCGAGGTTTTGGAGGAGATATTTAAATCCACAATGGATCTGGGGCACACCCGCACAATTGGCTCGTGTGAAGTGCCCGTAGCTCCATGGAAGCTCTCGCTCGTCTGCCGTGAATGGCGGGCTGTTGCTCACGACTTACCGCGTCTCTGGACCAACGTCTGTATCCAAGTTTTCAGTTTCGACGCCAATGGCTCTATGCACAATGGTCCCGGATTCGAATCGCTCAGCATCACGTATCCGTTGGCCGCCTTGGAACGACAGCTCTCCCTTTCCAAGGATGCACCCTTGTCCATCGACCTGAGTGCAGGAGAGCGCCAGGACTCTTATTTCGACCAACTCCTCCACCGTCTGGTCAAGGAGAGCCATCGTTGGGAAAGCCTCTCAATTCGCTGGCGGCACTCTCCCAGATCATTCGATGCCCTCGCTGCCATCGGTGGCAGACTACCTCAACTTCAGCGACTGGTCATTCATCCATATTCCGTGCTCTCCGGCAAGTGGCCGACGGTGTTGAACAGCCTGTTTACGAACACCTCGTCATTGCGGGAGGTCTTCCTGTGCGACGAGGTTTTTTACTCGCACTCACCACGCCTTCAGCTTCCTTGGCACCAACTGAGACGCCTTCGAATGCGCGAGAGCCCAGAGTGGATCTGCGATGTGCTATCAAGGGCAACCGAGCTCGTTGACTGTGAAATAGCCACATATGTTCATGAGTCCCGTTCAATCAGCCGGGAGGAGGAAGATGAAGAGGACAACGGAATCCTGGTTGACTATGTCAAGTTGCCACATCTGCGACAGCTAGCGCTTCGTCGATGGAAACCTGAGGGCTCAGAGTTCATCGAGGAATATCTGATAACCCCGAGTCTCTTAAACCTCGAGTTCCAGGGGTACCTAAACGAGATTCCTCTCATCCTCAAAAACGTTATGTGTCCATTGCAGACATTGAAGCTGTCGCAATTCGTCATAAACCGCCCCTTAACCCTCGTCCAACTTCTCCGACATGCTCCAGCGTTATCGTACCTCGAGATCGACTGGAACAGCAAATACCATTACTCCTGCAATGACGAAGACGAATTCATAGACTCCATCCTTGCTATGAACCTGTCCGGCAGTTTCGTCAAACTGTGCCCGAAGCTGGTCTCGATACGCCTTGCGCTGCCGTACAATTGCGAATTGGAGCACGCTGAGGGGCGGGTTTGCCAGATGGTCGAATCTCGCTGGAATCGTTCTGCAGCGCGGCGTACGCTTCGCAGTGTCCATATCTCCGGTATGGGTTTCCATCCCCATATTCTGGCAAGATTCGAAGAGTTGCGACTCGAAGGTCTGGAGATAAATGAGCTGAGGGAATTTGAACCGTATGAAGAACCGCCTCACAAGCCGATGGTGCGTCTGCTGTCCTATCTCAATCTCCCTCTTTGAATGTCTAATTTATTTTAGGGACGAAAAGCTTCGAAGCCACAGCTCGTGAATGAATAGAATGGGTTAGACTATCAATTGTATAGATTCAATGTAATCACTACGCGACGTGATCTCTGCTCGATTCGAATCTTTCTAGTTGCTTAACTGCCAATGAAGGTGATCTTTGTCTAATTCACAGGTGGCTCTTCGGGTCTTCCAGGTTGCTAGCTCTTTTTGGAGGAGGAGGAGGGT